TGGGAAGTGGCTTCTCATCTCCCTGTAATTTCAGCTCCAGCCTTCCCATCCTCCATGGGACCAGGTGCCTCTCCATAGAGATCCCTCGGCGCGTGAGGACCGCTCAGATCAGGGAAGTCTGGCACTTCTCCTGACAGCCCAAAAAAAACCGCAGAGAAGCCACCCAAGGAAAGGAAGCCCGAGTCAGTGATTAGGCCATTGCCACAATTCCCCTCACAGCTTAAAATTCATTTAATGCTTGAGAAAATAAATTCTGTTATAATAATAAAAATCAGACTTCTACCATCAAGTGTGGCTAGAATCTGATTCCCTCCTGGCACACAAGGCTCCTGCAAAAAAACAAAACAACAAAAACCAAAAAGCCAACCCCCCACCATCCCCTGCCCTCAGAAAAAAAGGAGAACAAAGTTAAAATTTGTATGGCTAGAAACCATATGATTTGAAAATTAAAAAAAAAAAAAAATAAAGCAGGAGAAGATATCCAAGAAGAAGGAGGAAAAAAAGAGAGAAACAAAAACAAGGAGCAGAGAGTCAGGAGAGGGAGCTGGGGGTAACCAGTGGGGGCAGCAGCAGGGCCAGGGTGGGCTAGGGGGGCAGCGGAGGTGTTCCCGCACGGCTCCCGCATCGTCGGCTTCTCGGAGGTGCTAGCGCTGGGGGACGCAGGCAGCCCTCTCTGAAACGGCTCACACCAGCGCAGGGGCACAGCTCGACTCCTCATCGTTGGCAAAAAGAAATTCTGTCGGGGTTTTTTTTGTTGTGTTTTTTGTTGTTTTTTTAGTTTTTTGTTTGTTTTTGGGTTTTTTGTTTTTTAAAAGAAAAATACAGTGAAGACACTAGAAAGAGGGGAAAAAAATAAAAAAGAGAAAAAGGGAAGAGGACATTAGGAGAAAAGGCTCTTCCCAGCACTTCCAATGCCAACTGGCATGTAACAGATCAAATCAGCCCTTTCTTCTACACTCCTGCCACCCCTCGGAGTTACCTTGTCCAGCTACTGTTGTTTCCTCTACAAGAGGCACCCGCTAGCTGTGCAAACTCTCACACACTTGATTACGTGCTCAGCACTCTCCTCCCCAACTCTACTGCACTGCCAGAAAAGCATTAATTAGGAACTAACAAAATGGCTCCCTGGCCCAGCACCTTCTTCACCCTCCCTACTCTCCTGGAGAAATGGAAGCTACCTTCACGCCCAATATAATCCACCCCCCAAGGTTTTGGCAGCCAACCTTACTCTTCCCTCTGAAGCCAAAAACCATCTCAAAGTAGGGCCAAGGGAAAGGTAATGTACCCACAGCAACATCAAAGCCTTAACCTAATCCCTAATGCAAGCAATTCCCTCCTGAGGGGATCCAGGCACAAGGACAGACTCACCTAAGCAAACACTGGTCCAGTGGCAATTGCTCCTCACTTCCCAAGGTGATCAAATGGCACACTTGTCTACAAGAGAAAAAGAAGAATACGTAAGGGAGGAAGAGGAAGAAAAAGCCATGAAGGACACCAAAACAGAGAAGCTGTGCATTTCTCTTAGGACATCCTCCCTCCCAAGAGTTTACTCTTCCACTTCTCCAAACCACTGTGGTCTGGAAGACAACCAGATGAAGGCTTACTCAGAGCAAAGCAGAGCTACAAAGACAGTACTGAGCACGGCCTCCAGAAAACAAGTAACTGAAGAGCCAAGGCATAACCTGGTACCGCTTGCCTCACCACACTGTAGAAGCTTCAGGCGCACATCAGCTCCAGGTAGAAACCGCTGCAGGGCCCGTAGTCCTTCTGGGACACGCAGGCCAATGCCACAAACATCGCAGCAGGGACTCACCTGTGATGCTGAAATCCGTGACACTTCTTGCCGCCCTGTGAGGTCAGACGAGGAGACGTTGGCAGGAGCTCCTCGGTGTAACCTCATGCTGACCTTCCGCTCCCTGTCCACTCTTGAGATTGCTCTGGGGGATGTGTTTCCTGTTAGTGCAAATAAACACAAAACGAGAACATTGGTCAGTCATTTCAGTTTCCAGCCAGTAAAAGGGGTGAGCACCCTCCCCCAGCTCTCCCACCCCACTCACCGGACTGCTGGATTCGGGAGGTGGGGGTGGAGGCCATGGGCTCGGTGACGTTGCGAAGACGGTTGGCAGTGGCTCCAGCAGGCGGGCCGGGGGGCAGCTCTCGCGTGGCGGACCCCCGGAGTTGCCCCATCCTCTCTTCTCGCTCGTGCTCTCGCCGCTCCCGATCCATATCCTCAGGGTTCCGGGCTGCTCCCTGAGGAGGAGAGAAACCCCCATGCCACGCACGGCTGTCAGGCAGGAGAGACAGCAGCAGCAGCCCCAGACAGAAAACACACAGTGCTCCATAACGCCAAGAAAATGGAGCTCCATCCCCAAAACACGTTCTCCCCCCCCCCATCTTCCACTCTACCCAGAGAGGGCCTCATTCTCTTCCATGACGAAACAGGGAAGAAAGCATATGGTACTACAGCTGTTATTGTAATCCACGTCTGTGTCCCACCTCCAAATATAGTTCTCTCCTGAAAAATTATCTCTACCTACCTATAGCTATACATCTATCGACACACACGCTCCAGACACACTCACTAATACAGTAGTACCTATACCTGCCAGTTAGCACCACCAAACAACTGCCTCTTTTCACTCTACCTGGTCCCCTTTCTCAAATTGCTCACCAGGGGTAAGTATAAGTGACAGGCAGTTTCCAACTTTCCTCCCCCATCTCCATGATACGAATCAACCCCTGCCCCTCCAGCCCCTTCCCCACACACACTCACAAATTTAAGCATGTTCCAGTCAAAGACGTAGTCATAGGAGAAGCCTTGGCGGTGGAAGAGGTTGCGGAAGAGCTGCCGCAGGTACGAGTAGTCAGGTTTGTCATCAAACCTCAGTGAGCGGCAGAAGTTGAGGTATGTCGAGAACTCAGCTGGAGGGAGCAGAGATCAGTTGGTTGTTGAACACCATCCAACCCCCCTGGTCCCACCACGGAGCCGCCACAGCCTTTCAGCAGCAGTGCCCTGGACTAGGACGGCACAAACAGAGCTGTGTAACAAAAACAAAGCCTGCCAGTTGCAGTGCTTTGGCCACCAAGAAGACCCCATCCCTATTTTTACCAGAGGAAATGCTCACGCATCTCTCTCTTTCTGGCTGCTTCTCCAAGCAAGAGGTAGCCGGTCACAGAGCCTGCTGAAGGAGAGTAAGAATGCAGGCTAAAGCATAGGTGGAGGTGAGCTTTGGGAAGCTCAGCTCAGACCAGAGGTCCTCCTAGTTCAGTAGCCCGTCTTAAGCAGTGGCCAGAAGTAGACAGCTACAGAGGAGAAAGACCAGAGCAAGTATACCTAACACTTTCATTGACATTAGCCCAGCTTCCACCTACTTTCAGCTCAGGCAACTTCCTGATCTGGATGTGGTTTCTAATTATTTAGTAACTTTCAGTTGATCTCTCTTCCATGTATTTGTCCAATCTCTCCTTGAACTCCTGTAAGCTTTAAGTATCCACAAGATCTTCTGCGAAGGAGTTCCATGGGTCTACTACTGGCTGCGTGAAGAACCACGTCGTTTTGTTTTGAAGCTAGCGGGAACCAGCTTTGTTTCTCTTCCAATACAATAACTGGGGCCACCAAATAATCAGCTCTTACCCAAACTTCTGGAGGCATAGCAAGAGTGTAGACTTCCATCATCTCTCTGATCAACTCTTTTCCAGGTTCTAGCAAACTCATTGCTTGTATAGAAATCACCTCACCTCCAATCACCCTTTTGGCCCTTTCCCGGACCTTCTTCCAGTTCTACCACATCCTTTCTGAAATAGTGGGATGGATGAGAGCTGCACAGTGCATGCAAGGTGCAAGTGGGCCATGCATTTATGCACACTGTTTGGGCTTCTTTTCTTTCCTAGTAATTCCTAACACCGGATCTGCTTTCCTCAGTAGCCACTAAACACAAAGTTGATGTTTTCACAGAACCATCTATTGTAACTGCAACAGCTCATTGGTGAGTGGCACCGGTCAGCTCAGAGCCTACTATTCTGCATATGACATGAGGACCAAGCCTTCTCTCTCCTCTCACATACTTTACTCCATGTTTACCTACAAAGAACTGCATTTGCCACTTCATTACCTGGTTATCTCTGGGATTCACCACAGTTCACTCTCATCCTCATTACCCAGTAAAAAACTCAGAATCATCAGCACACCTTCTCACCTCACTGCCCACCCCACTTCCAGACCGTTTCCGAGGACCTAAAGATCCCTCTTGGCTCTCTCATGCCCTTACTAACACAAGGCTTGACTCTCCAGAAAAATGTGCTTCCCACTTCTGAACCAGAACTGTATCACCACCAGTCTCTTATCCTTCTCATCACTGGTATCAGCAGCACATCCTGGTCTGGGGGTACTGGGCATTGCCCTTCAGGACTCAAGACTCCATGGAATTTCAGCAGGCGAGCAAG